GCGTACACACATGTTGACTATCAAAACATTTTTTGAGAGTTTTTTTTACTATGCCTATGGCATAAATACATTATACATCTGGTTGTTGATGAAATCGATGATTTAGAACCCAATCCCATGGATGTTTTCATACCGTGTCAATTTAAGGCAAGGATGCCATCTTGAAAGGTGGCAAAAACAAAAACTCTTAATAAGAAGTAAGCTATAAGAAAGTTCAAAAAACCAACTTTTTCAAACATTTTAAAACCCAAACCTAAACAATCAACTTTGCTACTAAACGTCATTGCAGAATCAGATTTTAGTCGTAAACATCGTCAGTTTTTACACCTTTCATAAAGGGAATTTGCCTCTCTCATAATTATAGGATTTTGTCAGAGTCAGATACCGATATAAAGTTTTTTGACTGTCAATGTTATTTATTTTTATCAAAATGCGTCAATGATATTTATTTTGTTGACCAAAATGGGAACTAGTATACATTTTTAATAATGAGTACATTAATTAATAATTGGTCTCTAACCACTGTACTTTAGCTGTTCACTAAGCAAGCACTCCCCTTCCAAAAGCACTAAACAAACCTCGCTGGATCCACCACTGATCTAAAGAAAAGCCTTCAGGAAACATTGCTATGTGTTATAGGACAAGAGACTAGGGGTTCAAGAACAAGTATGAGGAAATACTACTTTAGGTTATAGGACAAGAGACTAGGGGTTCAAGAACAAGTATGAGGAAATACTACTATAAGTTATAAGACAAGAGACTAGGGGTTCAACAACAAGCATGAGGAAATACTACTAGAGGTTTTAAGACAAGAGACTAGGGGTTCAAGAACAAGCATGAGGAAATACTACTATAGGTTGTAAGACAAGAGACTAGGGGTTCAAGAACAAGCATGAGGAAATACTACTATAGGTTATAAGACAAGAGACTAGGGGTTCAACAACAAGCATGAGGAAATACTACTATAGGTTGTAAGACAAGAGACTAGGGGTTCAACAACAAGCATGAGGAAATACTACTATAGGTTGTAAGACAAGAGACTAGGGGTTCAACAACAAGCATGAGGAAATACTACTATAGGTTGTAAGACAAGAAACTAGGGGTTCAAGAACAAGTATGAGGAAATACTACTATAGGTTATAAGACAAGAGACTAGGGGTTCAACAACAAGCATGAGGAAATACCAGTGTGCGAATTAGTTCAGAAAAAACGATGTGCAATTTTTTTGACAAAAGTGTTTCTTCACAAGCATAATCAAATCGATATTACGTTAATTATTAAATAACGCTAATTGCTAAATTAATATTTTTAAACGTGAACAATATCATATGATTTACGACAGTGTTTTTCGTTAAAACTGCTGATTTATGCACATCGTTTAAAAAAGTGATGTGCAATTGTTCTCATTTTAGCTAAAACGATGTGCAAATTGCACATTGCACACCGCTAATTCGCACACTGGTATACAGTTTTAACATATTTTGACATAAAAAAAGTTAAATCTAATTAGTGACAGTTTCAGAGTAGACGTAAATAGAAAAAAATTTTGATATGTTGAAAGCTGTATATTTTATAGCAGACTGCAGTCTCTACACCTTTGAAATCTGCCACTCAAGCACAACTATATTTTGTTTACATTGTTTTACCTTCCAATAAATTCAGATTTTCTGCAACTTTTCTGCCACATTTGTCACGATAAGCTTGTCTTTATAATCCTTACATGTTTGGTTAGATAAGCATGGAAACGTACGCACCTCCTCGGCCAACTTTTCATCAAATTTTATACTTTCTGGATTAAGCGATTGAACACATATTGAATCTACCCTTTTAAATTCCTAATTTTTCTTTCAAGATGACGTCATTTTGGCAATTAACGCGAATAAATACAAATTTTTTTGTTATTTTATCGCGTTTGTCGCCATTGTTAGTCTCCGCTTATTGCGATTATTACCACGTTCCCATATGGGGGATTATAGCGATTAAAGTTAATCGCTGTCGCGATTGTCGCGTTAAAGTAATAGTGTAAGCCATGCTTTAAAATTGCATACGAGTTAGCCGAGATGTTTTAAAAAGCATCATTCCTAGTAAGTATATGATAAATTATTGAACATTGTATACAATAACTTTACTGGGCTACAATGTTTGGATCGGCTAGTTTAATAAAGTAATATATCTTATACATGGCGATTCCTGCAACAATATAAGTCATTGAAAGCTTCAAAAGCTCTACCACCTATTTACCTTAATAAAGTGAATCGTTTGAACCCGGGAGTATCGTAACATGTTTGTAGATGAAGATCGTCCAGGTTAGTATAGTCCTTAGAAGGACTGTTGGTATTGATGTACACTGACGTTTCCACAAACTTAGTGGTAGTCATCTTCAGAAGATACAACCTTGGCGGTATTCATCTTCAGAAGAGACAACCTAGGCGGTAGTCATCTTCAGAGTCTTTCGACAACCTTGGTGGTAGTCATCTTCAGAAGAGATAACCTAGGCGGTAGTCATCTTCAGAGTCTTTCGACAACCTTAGCGGTAGTCCTCTTTAGAAAAGACAACCTTAGCGGTAGTCATCTTCAGAAGAGACAACCTTGGCGGTAGTCATCTTCAGAGTCTTTCGACACCCTTAGCGGTAGTCATCTTTAGAAGAGACAACCTTAGCGGTAGTCATCTTCAGAAGAGACAACCTTAGAATAGACAACACATTACTTTGGACTAATCCACGATAACAATACACAATTGATACCCACACACACATACACATTTCCTGTACACACAATACGATGACGTAAGAACCAGATAACAAATACGGCTTACCTGATTTTTACTCCTCACTTGACTCTAAAGATGACTACCGCTAAGCGTTCGAAACGTCAGTCTACATCAATACCAACAGTCCTTTTTGGGACTCTATACTAACTCGGACAATCTTCATCCCCAAAAATGTTACAAAAAATTACAATTAAATTTTCATTAGCAGGAAGACCCACACACCAACAAAACTCTTAAAATTGGTAAATACTTGATTCATCATTGTGGGTTTCACTTTTGTTCTAATGCTAAACCTTAAACTTTCCTTCGAACGAATAAAACGGAGGAGATCGTTTAGCCGTTTGAGAAAGCAAACAACATTCTTGTCATACGCACTTTACTTTTATTAAACAACCATGTGTTAGAAATATGTGAGCATTCTATAAAGAAAAATTCTACCAAATAAGCATATAAAAGCAACATGTTTAAAAAATGTTAGTTTTATATCATGAAAAACTCAATGTTAATTTTCATAGTTGGAGTTTAATTGCTTTAGCGTTCTTTGTAAATATAACATTTCTAAACAATAAATTTCTTTTTTCTGTGATTGATTTTGAACACAAAAATGTAAAGACCATTTTTTTAGATTTTGGAGCTTACATAAAAGGTGACTTTGATTTAAGGAAGAGAGAGGTTCTGAAAAATCTGGTTGGGCAAAAAGCACCTGTCAATACTTATAGCCAAAGTGCAGGAGGTGGAGGTTCTTTTGTTGCTAGGACAACAATGTTCCACTGCTGGTTGCTGGAGAAGGTGGTGCTTTAGAAAACCTGAACAAACGTTTAGATAACTGTGGTGCCAGCAATAAGACATTGAGAAAAAATAATAAATGTGTCACACCTTGTGGAAACTGGGCTTGAGGAGTAAACGGACAGGGAGCAAAGCAAGCAGATTCAGGAAATTCAGGTATAATATCAGATTTTACAATATCTATTTGTATCATTGAATTAAAATACATGGAACGCCATCTGAAGCAATTAATTGAAGCTAAATCTTATACCAGACATGCGAGATTTTACCCCCAGACACGCGTGTGTAGTGTTTCGAGATTCTCTCGCGGAATAATAATTGACTAAACACGCATGTCATTGGTAAAATCTCGCGTGTCTGGGGTAAAATCACGGCTTTAAAAAATTATTAAGGTTTTGTATTTCAGGAAGCGTTCCACGTATTTTAGTTCAATGGTTTGTATACTAATTTTTGTATCAATCAATGACAAACACGAGAAGTGCTTTTATTTTATGAAATCTTGACGATAAATTGACGGCAAAACAACGTGAAACTCATACTGTTACTTTCATGTTTTGTAGTAGGTGGAGGAGGTGGATTTCACAGCAATGGAAGAAAAAGTAAGCAGTCTGAAGGTGAGTATGGAGATGGAGGAGAAGGAGGTGTTGCTTTTATAAATGGAAGAGCAGGAGGACGTGCCAGAAATTACAATGCCGTTGGTGGATTTAGAGGTGGTGGTGGAGTATATGGTAATGGTGGAGGACTAGGTGGTAGAGGTGGTTACTCAGGTAGAGCATCCAGGCATAATGTGAATGGATCTTGTGGTGGTAAAGGTGGAACGTACAATGTGGGAAAAAATCAAGTAAATAAGTAGAAATATATGTATGTTGAGTTTTAAAAGCAAAAACAGGAAATCATCAGTCGGATTTTATGGATTTTCAATTTTCAATCCCTTTTCAGTTTTTTGATAACAAGCAAAACAAATATCTTATCTGTAAAAGCGTTATATTCCTTTTTGTGGATTCTAAGATATCCAAAATTTAATGATTGAAGTTTTGAAATACGATAAAAGAAATGCCAAAATAGATATCGTGTTGTTTTTTAAAAATACTATTTGATAAACTATAAACATCAGGAGGGGTCGAGAATATATTTGTCTGCCACAAAACCCACGAAGATCAAATTTTTATTCTATATAATCACACATTGTAAGTGCTTTTGAATTCTATTTCACCATCTAAAAAAGGAATTACAATTTAGAAACCATATAAAATGACAGTGCAAAGTTGTTTCAGTCATTGTGTCTCCTGCTTTTTAGGTTTTTGTTCTTGTGAGAAATCAAAAATATGTTCCAAGCAACAAACTGTCATGCGTTTCTTTTTTCAGCTCAGAATGTTTATCAAAATATCAGCCACATGGGGAAATGGATTTTTTGCCAAACTTAAACCAATAATAAAGGCAGGAATATCATTCTATATTTTATTTCATATTTTTCAGAAGTAAACAAACGTAAAGGATTTTGCTTTGAAAATCCCTTAAAATTACAAATCTACTAAAATCACGTTTACAATCATATTTACAAAGTTTTGTCAATGTCTTCATTTATTTAAAAGTGCCTTCGTGAACTTGACTAGACTTCATTCTCACCTATATGGTAAAGTCGAAGAAAAAGAATGAGTATAACGAATAGTATAAGTTTGAGTGCAATTACGGATTAACATGCACCACTGACTTTTTTAAAGACAGCAATGAAATATATTATATTTCAGTCTCTAAACGAGTGCAATTGTGGAAATCTTTATTTATTTACTACTCTCGCCAGGTTTTTTATAAATTAAAAATTAGAATTGGTTTTGAGTGCTTTTCAACAAATCAAGTTACAATACCTACAATGCATTTACAGCTTTTTGACAGTGCAACTACACATTTTTACAGTGCAATTACACATTTTTACAATGCAATTACACATTTTTACAGTGCAATTACATGCAGATAATCTGCACTTCAACCAACTAACCACATTCGAGAAATATCTCAAGGTAGCTATATTATTAAAATCTTAGTAATGTGAGATGCACCATGGTATATACAAAATAAACAACTGATTCACTAAAGCCATATTTCTCAACGTTTGAGCGAAAATTCTTCCCTTAAAGATTTGAAATGAGTGTGCTTCGTAGACAAAAATCAATACCAAAAACGACGAGAAAGACCGTTTTGAATTTCTACAACAACTATTAACAGTGATTTACCTACATCAGATGAAACTTCGTCATTATTACTATCCGTTTCTCTGAAGAATTTACAATCTTTGAAATCGAGCAACTTCAATGCCTTATCCAGTTTTGAGCATATAAAAGTTTTCTCTGGACCAAAAGAAATGTCATATTCTTCGTCGTTTTCGCACACACAAATTCGCAAATGGTTGCCATTTATTTTCATTATCCTTAAAATAAATAAGACCTCCCGAATCACCATCTTTAAGAAACTGGTAATTGCATTTGACTTTAACTGCATTCTTGAAAATGGTTTTTCTTGACTTTTCACACAAATACGAGTAATTTCGATGATTAATAAAGCCCTCGATACGAGAATTTGTACGAACTTTAACAAAACCGTAGCTCTTGTCTACTCTCTGGTAAAGCTCCTTATTTGCTTCTTTTAATCTCTAAGGAAAATTCTCCAAGTCGTCTCCACCAAGACTATAAAAATCGTTTTCGTTTCCAACTGGAATAAACATTATATCCGCTTCATTGTTGAACTTACTACCTGTGTTGCAGGGAAAACTATCTAGTTGTTTTACCTTGCCATAGTTAGGTAGCTGGTAGAAATACTTGTTACCATCATTTTAGTTTCTGGCATTTACGTTATCAATTATCATTAAAACCTCATTTTCCTGATTACATGTTTGTGAGGCAGAAATTTGGTCTGTAACATAAGCAACATGTGCAGAAGTTAAAGCATAATGGTTTTCTATATTACAACAAAACATTGCTAGAGTGCCATGCGAGCTGTTTCTTTGAGAACTATCGTTGTCATTAAAACTGTCGATATTGCTAACTTGCATGTTGCCAAAAATGCAGTATTGCTAATTTTTTGTGAATTCAAATGCGGAAAGTACTACAAAAGATGCCAAAGACAACTATAATTTTAGTACATTTGTTTACAATAATGTAGGCAAATTTCTGCTATAACTCGATCTTACATCAAATCGATTGGAAAGGGAGAGGAATAATAAATTCATATAAGAAATTACAAAACTAAGCAATCTCAAATTCTTAATATATACAGTGTAAATTGCTCCAATACGCTGTAAAAAAAGCGTTTTCGAACCCCAAAATCAAACTTTTCTGAGGAGCATGCTTTCGGACCCCCCTAGTGGGTAGACGGCTTTAGTGACTAACGTATAAAAAATCATAGATCCACTGCTGCAGGTAAATATATAATATAAATACAATCAATCAATACAAAGTTTGACTGCACTGTGTGTTACGATGGAATTGGGAGAGAGTTATCGTTTTTTTAAACTGTTTAAGTGATTTTTTGCGCCGCCTATGGCTAGTTGATATTAAAAACTTGCGGGCTGAAATGCACGTACGCTGCAACCAAAATCAAAAAAATTGGGAAGCTTTTTCAAGTATATCATTAATAAGTAATAGCATATAGTTCTCGTGCATTTTGGAAAAAGAGCACTAGTGCGTTTTTCAAAGACTTCAAATTGAACTCGTCCTTAGGTATGAAAGCAATGCTTTAACAACAGCATTTTAGAACCTTTTGACCAAGCTTATATAGCTAAGCGTAAATATAACTCATCCAATGTCTACTTCTGAGTTTTACATGAAAATGGCGATTATAAAAAATGGACAGGTAAGCTTTTAATTAAAATTTAAAATTGTTTAGCAACATTTGCACCTTCATGAACAATTTTTATTGCCAAATTATTCTTCTCTATCCACCGAAAAGAAGCAGCAAGTTCTTCGTACCACAACTGCTTACATTTCCGAGATTCAAACCAAAATTTAAGCATTGTAAACCCTTGCCAGGACAAGTCACGATGCTTTAATTCAATTTCTATTATTTTCTCATGCGCAATTTCCAGAGATATTGCCAAATCCTTCCATTTATCAGGAATTGCTTTCGCCATTTGTAACAGAATTTTGTTAATTGCTGCAAAAAAACGTACAATCAAAACAAGGTAATAGCATTTTTTACGTTGGTACAAAATGTTAGATAACTGTATACACCAAGTCATTAACATTATCATTTCCTACATGAACTAGATATAATATACACAGCCATGAGACTTGTAAGAATGCATCAAGGGTGTGTCATGTTAATTTTAATAAAACTATTGATAACATGCTTTCAGTAGTAATGTTTTTTGGGTAAGACAGCGTGTTAAAATTATATCACCAAACTTGAGTGATCTATTGCATGTGGAGGTTTTTCAAAATTCGTAATACCAGTTAAAATGCACACGGTACATAGCTATTAAATTATTAATTAATATTCAACACTGATGATATTAACAATAATTTCTTCATGTGAAAAGGTGTCATTATGCATTTTACACCTCGAAAAATTTCTTAGCTTATTCAAGAATAGGCCATTACTCCTCTCAGTCCTATTTAGAGTATCTTTACTCTTCGTATTGATAATTTTACCCCACAAGTAATCATATTATAATCATAATATACTGAGCAATACATGCCCCTGAAACGAGCACAAAATATACTTATTGCCATTGTAGATGTGTAAATGTAATGCACATAAAAATGTTCTATTTTATAAAAATAGTAAAATGATATAAAGCATCAAGAATCAGTGTGAGAGTGTTACATAACGAGTGCATGAGTGATACAGTGTTGATTTATGCTTGATTCAAACGGTTTTACTAATAACTTAAAAAGTTATTGCATGATTAGAAATCGTTCTTTGAAAAATTATGTACTATTGTGCAGCGTTTGCACATGCTCTTAGCATATTAAAAATTTGGTATATCCTTTATAACAAAAGCACATCTGTAGGCGACTACACTTACCACATAGTAAAGCTTTGTTAACTCAAGCAAGTGTACTAAACTTTTTGCTGCCTATAATGCTGTGCTACATAGCATGTATATTTATACATCCATTTAATAACACAAAAGGCGCTAAATATTTTAATTGAACAAAATACCTATATCTATATCATTTATATAACTCATGTCATATACTACATCTACATGTAAAAGAAACATTCATAAACATCTGCATTTTTAAAAATCGTCATTCACTTGTAATGTTTAATACTGCATAATAGCTACCGTAGATGTAAAAAAAGTAAATAACAACGGCTGTATATATATATATATATATATATATATATATATGTAGTAGGCTATTTATCATAAAAGACAAAGACAAATGATAAAATTGTATAATAGTGCTGCTAATATACTGACATATCAAGAAAACATCTTGCCGTTTCAGTTTACACTTTTGCAGAACAATTTGACTATACATATGGTTTATCATGCAGAAACCTAATTTATCAGAAACCTGTACTTGCATTTAACCCAGTCAAAAACTGATTATTCATGTCAATCAACATAACTTATGACAAAGCCATTTCTCTTTGCAAAGCATTACAAAAACCTAACAGCAATAAATAAGTTCAGAAAACGCGAGATAGCACGAATATAAGAAAATAATATCAAGCCTCCCAGGGGTCATGTATTGTCTATTTTACTATAGAATGATTGAAAAAAATGGAAAAACAACAGAATTAATTAAGAAATGGCTTGGAAATTTTATGTTTACATAAAAATGCATGTTCATGATTCTAAAGCCATGGGCGATGGCCCATACGCGCCTGGTACGCTAAAGCCATGAAAATATGCATAGTAAGTCCAATACCACTTATTTAAGAAAGGAATGTTTCCTTCTGCCAACCTCGCAAAAAGCAACATAACCCTTGAAAAATATTAAAGCAGCTAGTATGGCAAGGATAGAATGTTACAACATCCAAGCCACAGCAAAAGACGTCATTTTTGAATCTTAGATAGAAAGTAGCAAAAATAATGCTATGCTTATTTCGCTAAGGGAAAAAGAATCTGAGTAAAAAGAAGGATTAATTGGTTTTATGCTATGATAGAACAGGCAATCGATTTCTTTACTAATCTGTTCAAAGTGGATCTCGGCTAAAGTACAGTTTATTCTGCCAGTGTTAGATTTAGAGGTTTTACCGAACATCAGATAGAATCATAAAAGAGTTTAACAACATAACGATTGACAATATATTTTAACATAACATGTGCTCTCTTCTATAAGGCAGAACAACAAGTACATAGGTCACATGATTAACAATTAAGTTGAGAGTTATGCACTGTGATGTCATTTCCTTTTAACACTCCCACTTAACCATCAACTAAATTACTTATTAAGTTAAATTTGTTTTACACCAAGAAGATCTCTAAAACGTTCATACGTAGGCTTGCTTAATGGTTTAGTCATAATGTCAGCAATCATTGATTCGGTAGGACAATACTTTACACATATTGCGTTCTTATTAACTTGCTCTCTAATGAAGTGATAGGATATGTCAATGTGCTTTGTGCGATTATGAAATTTCGGATTCTTGCACAATTGAATGGCTCCTTGATTATCTTCGTAAATTGTTGTAGGAACAGGTCTCAACAATTCAATATCATTCAGTAATCTTCTTAGCCAGATACACTCTTGTGAAGCTGAACTCAAAGCAATATATTCGGCTTCAGTTGTAGATCTTGATACAGATGCCTGTCGTTTACTGCACCAGCTTATCGTACTGTTTTGAATCTGAAAAACATACCCTGATGTAGAACGTCTTGTCTCCACATCACCACCCCAATCGGCGTCTGAAAAACCATACAAATCAGAATCTTTTCCATTTGCAGTAAACAGAAGACCATAGTCCATCGTTCCTTTGATATAACGAAACACTCTTTTCACTGCTTGCCAATGATCTTTACCTGGTCTGGACATATATTTAGATAAAGTTGCGACGGCGGCAGCTAAGTCTGGACGAGTTGCAACAGTTGCATATGTTAAGCAACCTATTGCCATTTGATATTTCTGAACATCTACTGGCTTCTCATTATCAGATAATGATACAAACTTCTTTGACGTATCTAGTGGTGTTGATACTGGTTTTGATTCATCCATTCCAAACTTCTTTAGTACTCCAAGCAAATATTGTGACTGACTGATACTAAGTGTTTTAGCTTGACGGTTGCGCTTTATTGACATTCCCAAAATGTAACCTACTTCACCAACATATTCGACTTTGAATCTCTTAGCGAGAGATCTCTTTTCTTTAGTCAACATATCTGTACAATTAGAAAACCACAGTATGTCATCCACATACAAGGCCAATATGACAAAGTCGATTTTACCACTCTTTCGTTTAATGGACTTTATATAGACACACGAATCTGCATTACTTTTTCGATATTCATTTGACAACAGAAACTTGTCGATTTCAGAATTCCAACATCGTGCAGCCTGTTTCAAACCATATATGCTTTTCTTCAATCGATATACATAATTCTTCTTCTCTTGATCGACATAACCTTCCGGTTGTTTCATGTAAATTTCATCTTCTAGCTTACCTTGCAAAAAGGCAGTCTTTACGTCAGTTTGGTGAATTTCCCAGTTGTGTATTTTCGCCACACTCAGCAATAATCTAATTGATGCATAACGAACTACTGGTGAAAAAACTTCTTCATAGTCGGTACCTTCAGATTGAGAGTAACCTTGCGCCACTAATCTTGCTTTGCATATTTCCACAGATCCTTCTCCTTTCGCTTTACCTTGAATACCCAACGACATCCTACTATATTCTTCCCTTCAGGAGGAGTAACAAGTTCCCATGTCTGGTTATCTAATAATGATTGATACTCTGAATCAGTTGCTGTTCGCCAATTGTTGCTGTCTTCACCATTCCAAGCTTCTTGGATGTTACATGGTTCGTTGATGTCAGCAGTCAAGCTTTGTGAGAAGTAATTCTCTTCATCAAATCTGTTGGGAGGTCTAGATATTCTTTTTCTGGGAAGGCTTTGAGTTTCTCTAAGAAAATTTTCTTCATATGTCGCTCCCACTGGTTGAAGGTGCTGATCTGCTTCAACTGGGTTTTCAATTTCGTTATTTCTTCTTGAGCAAATTCTTCCATTGGTATTTCATGTGGTTCATCAATCTTTTCTTCTAGTGGAGTGTAAAAGTTACAGAACTGTTTGTTTTCATTACCTTTCAAGTCGTAAAATCTTTTCTCAAGAAAGACAGCATCCCTACTTCGAAAAAACTTTTGACTGAGCACATCAAACAATTTGTAGCCTTTCGTCCCTTCAGGATATCCGATGAAGATACACTTCTTTGATTTCTCTGAAAATTTCTTTCGTTGACTTGCAGGCACGTGAGCGTAAACTAGGCATCCAAATTCTGTCAGATTAGAAACATCTGGTTTTTTATTGAACAAGCATTCAAACGGTGTAACTTTATTACGTGATACTGTCGGACTTCGATTTCTCAGATAGACAGCTGTATTCACTGCTTCTGCCCAAAATTGTAACGGCATATTACTGTGTGATAACATTGATCTGGCTGATTCTACAAGTGTGCGATTCATTCGTTCCGATACACCATTCTGTGCGGGATTATACGGCCCAGTAAGTTGATGTGTAATTCCTTTCTGTTTAAGAAATTCTTTAAATTCTTTGGAACAATATTCCCCACTATTGTCTGTCCGTAAAACTTTAACTGAACAACCAGTGCTGTTCAAAACCATTGCATTAAATATTTTAATCTTCTCCAATACTTCATGTTTGTTCTTAATGAAATAAACATAAGTGTACCTTGAAAAATCATCAATAAAAAGAATAAAATACTTTGAACCACCAAGTGAATTTGTTGACATCGGTCCACAAACGTCACTGTGCACCAATTCAAACGGCTTAATTGCACGCTTTGCTTCCTTTTTGGGATACTTGGATTTATGATGCTTACCCATAATGCATCCCTCACATGGAGATCCTTCCTTAGGCGTAGTATCCATGGCAATAACCATATTATCATTCAGCAGTTTTGAAACATTGTTCATTCCAAGGTGACCAAAACGATAATGCCATAACATTTATTTATCATCTATTGCAACATTCACATAGTTACCTTGATTTTCAATACATACAGTTTTTCCAGCAATATATCACTTGCCAACAACTTTGTACCTCTAAAGATTTCACATTGATCATCTCTGAAAGTAACACATGCTGCAAGCTTTGTCATGGCTCTTACAGAAAGCAAATTCCTACCAAGATCTGGTACATACAACACATCTCGCAAACTTATCTTCTGAGGTCTTTCATTTGCATCAGCAATAATGCGGCAAACCCCTTTACCATATGCAAGAATACTTCTATTATCTCCAAGATTAACAATTGATGGATTTGAAAATTGAACATATTCAATCAAATTGCTCTTATTATAGGTCATGTGCTGTGTGGCACTTGAGTCGATAATCCAGCTGTTATTATTCCATGAACTTGAGGTATACAATGCTTCGTCTTCCACCATATTATCATCATCCTCTTTCTCTACACAGCTAACAGATTCACCTTTCTTTCTTTCATTACTTTTCTTGTTCTTGTCGTCGAGGACCTTTTTCTTGGACAGTGACGAGCAAAATGCCCTCTTTCATGACAGTTGTGACACTTCCCTTTAAATACATATTGTTGCTTTCTTTTTCTCATATTTCTTCCAGCAGCAAATGCTCCTTCAGGATCCTTTCCGTCTTGTCATCGATCAACATCATTTAACAACATGTTTTTCACTTTGTCGTACGATAAGGAGTCATCACCTATTGCATCCAGGGCTGTAATCAAGGGTTTGAACTCTTCAGGCAAACTCGCTAAGAGTGTCATTGCCAGTTCTTTGTCATCTACTTCTACCCCCATTTCTTTTAGCTGGTCATGCAATGTTCTTAAGTGACTAATATGCTCCAACATGCTTTCTCCTGAACGATAACGGCAAGCGTAGTATTATTGTCTCAATCTCACTTTCTGTAACAGAGATTCTCTAGCAAATTGCTTCTTTAGAGCGTCCCATGCTTCTTTTGCAGTTGTGGTATGGCGTACATGAATTTGATATTCTGGTTCAATAGCCAGACAGATGTGAGTCCATGCCTTCTTCGCATTACGCACAAAGCTCTGACGAACTTTGGCACTTTCCCACGTAAGTTGAGCAGTACCCTCAGCATGTTCAAACAGATCAAGGCTTTCTAAGTATAAACGCATGTTAAAAGACCAGGTCCGATAATTCGACCCATTTAACTTCGCAAATTTGAACGAATCCAATTCAGCCATATTCATTTTATATTCGACCGCAAAATACTTATAGAAATATTTTATAAAATCGTCGACTTGTTCGATTCACATGTAGACCATAGCATTCTGGGCCCATAACCTGTTAGATTTAGAGGTTTTACCGAACATCAGATAGAATCATAAAAGAGTTTAACAACATAACGATTGACAATATATTTTAACATAACATGTGCTCTCTTCTATAAGGCAGAACAACAAGTACGTAGGTCACATGATTAACAATTAAGTTGAGAGTTATACACTGTGATGTCATTTCCTTTTAGCAGCCAGATCATCATTAACTGTAATAATTGCAGCATGTGTGATCATTTGAAGAAAACGGACTGGTGTGACAAATGGGAAAAGATGATTTAAAATCAAACCAGCCTTACCTAAACTTAAAATAATATAGGATGTTAGAAAGGTATTGACATGCCCGAATTTATTGAAACTGACACCCAAACTCTAACTTAAGCAACAAATACATAAACTGGTTATGCTGCTGTCACTTACAGATAAAGGTATAAGACAATTTATAAGCTTCTATTTCAACTGGTACAAAGACCAAGAAAAACGTAGTCACCAATGGAAACAAACTAAAACTCGCGATAGGTCGGTGTGTGTATTTGAACCAATAAATTGACAATCTGGCTTCATTTTTATTTAAGAATATATTAAATGTGTCAATAAAAAATATTTTAGAATAAAGAAAGTAAGGTAAGCATTATAAAAAATTTGATTGCGACGTTTCACGATATCTAGAATTAAAAAATGCTCTAACCGCTTGGCTTTATAAAAAATAAACAATATTTGTAAACCTATTGCTAAGACTAATTGAAGAATCCACTATATTCACCTCAACTTGATCTAGACTTACAATTACTCAGCAAAATATTTGTCTTTTTCTCACATTGAATTTTAAGGAGTTCATTCAATAAAACTCTAAATTTCGTATTTTTACTTTCTAATATAATAAGCATATCTTTTATTTCCTCCGTATTACAACGTAAATTTAAAGGCATTTAAACATAAGTCTAGCAGCATCATTGCTATCAATGTTTATTTCTTTAAAAAATGTATAAAAATTGTCAACGAGTTAATCTCGACGTTTCTATAAGTATAAAATTCTATTTCAGCCATATCATATATAATATTGAAGATGAACAGTCTCTATGTAGTTTCTAACCTAAATTTCAAATCAAATCATGAAAGCATACACAATAAAAAAATTTGTAAAAATGCATTAGCAGTGAAAATGCATTGGTAACGTGTGCAGTTATACTTACAATGTTACCATTTTTTTTAATTAAACTCTCTAGTATTTTAAATGGTTGCAAAGGTTTCATCAATTTAAGAATTTATCGTGGCCAAAAAATTAATAGCTAATTTGACAAATCTGTTTTTACTGTGTAAGATAGAAAAAAATAAGGAAAATTGACGAAAAACTTACTTTAGATGTACATGTTGTTGTTTCATATTAGTTTTGTTTTATTTCAACAACATATTTAAAATATTTTTACACTTAACATAAATAAAGCTACATGTTTTATTTTTTTGGTTTTTCTTGAAGTGAATTAGCTATATTGTTCTCAATTTGCTTCAAACTTTAAGAAATTAATATTTTAAATCAATTTCAAGATAGCTATAGAAATGGACAAAATAAGAAAAATTAACAAGATAAATGCTCAGTATCATTAAACAGGTCTAATGTAAGATTATTATATTTAAAATGAATCCAAATTTCACAAAAAAACTGTTTCACGAAAAACTAATTTTTTATAAAAATTTTTAAAATTGTTGATTTTTTCTGTTCAGATATAGCAAAACATAATGCAAGAATAATAATTCATAATCTATAAACACACAAGACTTAAAAAATTTGTTCTAAAATTTCAATAACTTCAAAAATTACATTTTAAAACGCTTTTTTTTAAATGGTTATCTATGTAGTCAAAAAATAATTATTTTCAAAATTGATTTAAAAGAGTTGTGATATTAAAAACGTCAATAAAGAATACAATTTAATTATTTTTCGTTTTTTTCTTCGATATTTTTCCCTTTAGAACTGTATCTTTTTTTGGGAATGAATAAGGGAAAGTGAGACACCTGGATGTGCTTTACAATTGAGGTTTTGTGTATAAAATTTCTTATAATCAATGCTGGTTTTTTAAAGTATCTTAATGTCACAAAAGTAGCATGGGTTATTGCAAATAATACAACCGAAAATAACCCAAAAATTTGCAACGTTTCGCGTTATCTGTGATTCAAAATGTTCTAACCGCTTAGTTCTATAACAATGAACAATATTTATATACAAAAGTCAAAGAATTTTTGAAGAATCAATGGAATCAACTTGATCTTGAATACAAGTATTTTTACGATTTCAACTCTTTTTGACTATTAAAGAGTTCATCTAATAAAGCTCTAAATTTTGTATATTTACCTTCTAATATAATAAGCATACCTTCTATTTTCTCCGTATGAACGTGTAAATTTGAAGGCGATTTAGCATCAGCAGTATCATCAGACTTTTTTTCTTTGAAAAAGATATGAAAGTAGAGCAAGTGAATCATAGCGTAAAATGGAAGGCTGATTTTTATAATAAATACGTTTCTAGAAAAAAACCAAGTTAAGTGAAGTTTATAAATGTTTACTGGATTAAATAAAAAAGAAAAAACCAAGAATCAATTCTTCAAGTAAATTATTAGAACCTAGCAACATGTTTTTCCCAAGAACAAAGATGTATATCAATCTAGGTTTTTAAAGTAATAAAGAATTTCTTAAAGTGCAAGTTTTGTAAATCTGGTATTTTTCTTAAAATATTCAAAAAAAAAATGAAAAAATGTAAAACTTTATTTATGTCCTAATTTTTAGTAAAGTTTTTTTACTTTTTCTAATTTTTAGAACAAAAGTTAAAAGCAATTAGTAGAATTTTTTTAACTTATCATATATAGGACAAACAAAATATATTTTTAACAAAAATAACTTGCCCCTGACTTGTAGCTATGACAAAATGCAAAAAAAGTTTTAAATAGAGTACTTGAGACTTTTTTTAAAGGATATGTTTATATGAAGTAAAAAGCAGATACTTCAATACAGTAAAAATAGTTGACACAGGGCAAAGTCAAACAAATTGTACTTAGGCATATCAGTTTAGAAGTATTTAGGATGAAAAGGCTCTCAGTACTTTCTAACCCTAAATTGCAAACCACATAATAAAGTATAAGATGGAAAGAAAACAAGGATAAATTAAACAAAAACAAATTTTAATTGCATGTGTCGATGTTTTTTAGTAGCTTAATTTAGTTTGGTTTTATGTATATGTTAAAAGAGATTTAAAGTATTTTTGCTCCTAAATATATATTAAAGAGCATTACATTGTTCACAACTTGCATCGAACTTTAAAAAACAAATCTTTTTTTTATCTATTTTAAGATAGCTCTACAAATGGGCATGAATAAGAGAACATAGCTAGATAAATGCTCAGGATGGTTAAACGGCCTAAAATAAGATCATTATATCAAATGAATACCGATTTCACCAGAAACAGCTTTAACTGATTTTATAAACATTCCTAAAATTGTTTTTTCTGTTCAGATCTAGCCAAACATAATACAAGATGAATTCATGACTTGTAAACACAAAAGACTTCAAAAATTCTGTCTGAAATTTCAAAAACCACAAAATTTACACTTTAAAACGCTTATATATAATATAATATACAAAAATAAAGAATAACATACCAATACTGTTCGAAGATTCAGTAATTGTAACAGCAACATGATCCAAAGCAACTGATTTTTTTCGACTTGCCTGCTCTTTTTCATAAATATCTTTTGCTTTGTCATTTTCTTTAGTAGAATGATACACATTACCAAGATTGTTTAAAGTCGTAGCCACATCAGCATGTTCAGGACCAATTAATTTTTTTGGTGATTCCAGTGCTTTTTCGTGAAATTCCTTCGCTTTGTCAAATACTTTACTACGATGGTATTTATTGCCAAGATTGTTTGAAGTCGTAGCAACATTAACAATTCCAACACCTAGTGATTTTTGTTGAATTTCAAACACTTTTTCATAATATAGTTCGGCTAAAGCATATTTGTTGGTCTCATAATACACTTTACCAAGATTGTTTAAAGTCGTAGCCACATCAACATGTTCAGGACCAAGTGATTTTTTTCGAATTTCCAACGCACTTTCATAACACTCTTTGGCTTTGGCATATTCTTTAGTACAATGATACAAATTACCAAGAATGTTTAAAGTAGTAGCAACATCAACATGTTCACCACCTAGTGTTTTTTTTCGAATTTTCAACGCTTTTTCGTGAAGTTTTTTTGCTTTGTCATATTCTTTAGTACAATGATACAAATTACCAATATAGTTCAAAGTAGTAGCTACATCAACATGTTCAGGACCAAGCGATATTTGTCGAATTTCCAAAGCTTTTTCATAACACTCTTTGGCTAGGGCATATTTATTGGTCTCATAATACACATTACCAAGATTGTTTAAAGTTGTAGCCACGTCAACATGTTTTGGACCAAGTGATTTTTTTCGAATTTCCGACGCTTTTTCATAACACTCTTTGGCTTTGGCATATTTGTTGGTCTCATAATACACATTACCAAGATTGTTTAAAGTCGTAGCCACGTCAATATGTTCAGGACCTAGTAATTTTTGTCGAAACTCCAACGCTTTTTCACAAAATTCTCTTGCTTTGTCATATTCTTTACTACGATGATACAAATTACAAAGATTGTTTAAAGTCGTAGCTACATCAACATGTTCAGGACCAAGTAATTTTTTTCGAATTTCCAACGCTTTTTCATAACACTCTTTGGCGTTGACATATTCTTTAGTACAATGATACACATTGCCAAGAATGTTTAAAGTCGTAGCCACGTCAACATGTTCAGGACCAAGTAATTTTTGACGAGTTTCCAACGCTTTTTCATAAAATTCTCTTGCTTTGTCATATTGTTTAGTACGATGGTACAAATTACCGAGATTGCTTAAAGTCGTAGCTACATCAACATGTTCAGGACCAAGTGATTTTTTTCGAATTTCCAACGCTTTTTCATAACACTCTTTGGCTATGGCATATTTGTTGGTCTCATAATACACATGACCAAGATTGTTTAAAGTCGTAGCCACATCATTATGTTCTGGACCAAGTGATTTTTGTCGAATTTCTAACGCTCTTTCATAACACTCTTTGGCTTTGGCATATTTGTTGGTCTCATGATACACATTACCAAGAATGTTTAAAGTCGTAGCCACGTCAACATGTTCAGGACCTAGTGATTTTTGTCGAATTTCCAACGCTTTTTCACAAAATTCTTTTGCTTTTTCATATTCTTTTTTACGATGATACAAATTACCAAAATTGTTTAAAGTTGTAGCTACATCAACATGTTCAGGATTAAGTGATTTTTGTCGAATTTCCAGCGCTTTTTCATAACACTCTTTGGCTTTGTCATATTCTTTAATACAATGATACAAATTACCAAGAATGTTTAAAGTCGTAGACACGTCAATATGTTTATGACCTAGTGATTTTTGTCGAATTTCCAGCGCTTTTTCATGAATTTCTCTTGCTTTGTCATATTCTTTAGTACGCTGGTACACATTACCAAGATTGTTTAAAGTATTTGCCACATCGACATGGCCAGGTCCTAGTGATTTTTGTCGAATTTCCAACGCTTTTTCATAACAATCTTTGGCTATGGCATATTTCTTGGTCTCATAATAAACATGACCAAGATTGTTTAATGTCGTTGCTACATCATCATTTTCTGGACCAAGTGATTTTTGTCGAATTTCCAACGCTTTTTCATAACACTCTTTAGCTTTGGCATATTTGATTTTCTCATAATACACATTACCAAGAATGTTTAAAGTCGTAGCAACGTCAACATGTTCAGGACCTAATGATTTTTGTCGAATTTCCAACGCTTTTTCACAAAATTCCCTTGCTTTGTCATATTCTTTACTACGATAATACAAATTACCAAGATTGTGTAAAGTCGTAGCTACATCAACATGTTCAGGACCAAGTGATTTTTGTCTAATTTCTAACGCTTTTTCATAACACTCTTTGGCTATGGCATATTTGTTGGTCTCATAATACACGTTACCAAGATTGTTTAAAGTCGTAGCTACATCAATATGTTCTGTACCAAGTGATTTTTTTCGAATTTCCAACGCTTTTTCATAACACTCTTTGGCTTTGGCATGTTTGTTGGTCTCATAATACACCATACCAAGAATGTTCAAGGTCGTAGCCACGTCAACATGTTCAGGACCTAGTGATTTTTGTCGAATTTCCAATGCTTTTTCACAAAATTCTCTTGCTTTGTCATATTCTCCACTACGATGATACAAATTACCAAGTTTGTTTAAAGTCGTAGCTACATCAATATGTTCAGGACCAAGTGATTTTTTTCGAATTTCCAACGCTTTTTCATAACACTCTTTGGCTTTGTCATATTCTTTAGTACAATGATGCAAATTACCAAGAATATTTAAAGTCGTAGCCAAGTCAAAATGTTGAGGACCTAGTGATTTTTGTCGAATTTCCAGCGCTTTTTCATGAAATTCTCTTGCTTTGTCATATTCTTTAGTACGATGGTACGCATTGCCAAGATTGTTTAAAGTATTTGCCACATCGACATGGCCAGGTCCTAATGATTTTTGTCGAATTTCCAAAACTTTTCCATAACATATTTTGGCTATGGCATATTTGTTGGTGTCATAGTACACATGGCCGAGATTGTTTAAAGTTGTAGCTACATCAACATGTTCTGGACCTAGTGATTTTTGTCGAATTTCCAGCGCTTTTTCATAACACTCTTTGGCTTTGGCATATTTGAAGGTATCATAATGAACAATGCCAAGATTGTTTAAAGTCGTAGCTACATCAACATGTTCAGGACCTAGTGATTTTTGTTGAATTTTCAGCGCTTTTTCATCAAATTCTCTTGCTTTGTCGTATTCTTTAATACGATGATATAAATTGCCAAGATTGTTTAAAGTCGTAGCTATATCGACATGCCCAGGTCCTAGTGATTTTTCTCGAATTTCCAACGCTTTTTCATAACACTCTTTGGCTTTGTCATATTTGTTGTTCTCATAATGCACATTGCCAAGAATGTTTAAAGTCGTAGCAACGTCAACATGTTCAGGACCTAGTAATTTTTGTCGAATTTCCAGCGCTCTTTCTTCAAATTCTCTTGCTTTGTCATATTCTTTATTACGATGATACAAATTGCCAAGATTGTTTAAAGTCGTAGCCACATCAACATGTTCAGGACCAAGTGATTTTAGTCGAATTTCCAGCGCTCTTTCTTCAAATTCTCTTGCTTTGTCATATTCTTTATTACGATGGTACAAATTACCAAGATAGTTTAAAGTAGTAGCTACATCAACATGTTCAGGACCAAGTGATTTTTGTCGAATTTCTGACATTTCTAAAGCTAGAAAAAATATCAAATTTCGTGTACTTTTTATTATAAACAAATAGGCAACATAGGTTTACTTCGTTTTTATTGTTATTTAAATTTTCAATGTTTACCGTCTTTTGCCAGCCTTCACAATTCTCAAACAATTATAAAACCAAATAATAGTTAACCCTATGATCTGATAATGGACTGGTTATATAGCTTCTGCAGGTATCATAAAAAGTGAAGCCTGATGATATGTGCGATGATGCGACAAATTAGATTCTTGCACGGACAGTTTTCAATAGGACACAAACGCCAACATTTCATGGCCATAGGAACATTTTGATGTCAAATTGAATTAAATAATTTGTTCTACCCATGACGTATATTTTTTATTATTAAGAAAGTCGCGAAACAAAATATTCGAAAATCTACCTTGGTAAACGTTATCCGTTAAACGTAAACGTTGTACTGAAGGAAAAGAAAATAATAATCTGGTACAACTTTGTTTAGTCCCACTCTGCTATTTTGACGCAGTTAGCGCAGCATATTATATGTGTTAATAATACACTTTTCAGTAGTGTTTAATGTGATGTTCTAGCGTCAATAGTGAGCATTAGTAAGTGTGTACTAATTATATTGCGACTTAATTTAAGTACGAGTTCGAAGTTTGACCGTGTACTGGATTGGCACGAGGAACTTTGTTGTCGCTGTTGCTCTGTAAAAACTTTATTTTAGTATTATAGCTTTAGCTACGGCTTTATTTGTTAATAATAATATCAACGAATTGGTAATAATAAGAATATAGGACTCTTTATGGACAAAAAAATCTTTACTAATTTACATTTTATGTTTTATATATGTGTAGTATTTTACAGTTTACTAACATTCCATTTGCATTTGAGATGCATGGAACTATAAAAGATATAAAAAGTTTTTTCGTAATTGAATCACATTTTGAAGTTGTTCTCTTAAGGCATTTGTGAGTTGCAAAATTATCCACAAAGTAAAGTTTTTATATTGCTAAATAAATATTTACACTAGCTACATGGACAAAGTTCGACTTTACTGATTTAAACGTTGACAAATATTGATGGTGCTCGATATTGTTCATGGTCAACAAGGGGATTAAGAAATTGATAAAAACTATTTTAATTGTGAATTCTATAATTGAACTGGTTCAGTGAACCTGTGTATCAATTTGCTTTGCAAATAAAGATATAATAAATTTATTAACGAAGTGGTAAAAGTAGAACAGGTTTGAAAAACGAGTTTGGTGATTGTGTATCAAGTATTGACAATGTGACATTGGAACAAGAGGACTTTTAAACCTGGTAAACACATATTAATATAAACATTTTCCATTCACGAGAATGAAAAATGATTCAGCCTTGGAAAAGTAACGATTCAAGCTGACGCAATTTCTTCAGGCAATGAAAATTAAATGTGGAAACAAAGCACACTTTAAATTCATAAGGAATATCTAGTTCAAACCAGGGGCGGATCAGGATTATTCAAACATCAGTCATAAAACGTCGGAGGCGCTCCACACCTGGGGGGGTCCGAGCTACGGACTTCGAAGCATTCTCCCCTATGAAATTTTGAATTTCACAGCCTTGGGAATGCCATTTTCAGCGTTTTAGAGCAATACAAAATGTATTTTTTGCGCATCGTTTTTGCGTAAAAACACATTTTTCTTTCGTTTTTTTCAATAAAAAAAAACTTAAGTAAACAATACTTGAATGTCTTGCCAAATATTTAGACTCAATATCATGCCAAATATATGGCTCATTAGCATGTCCAGGAACATAAAATTTACTTTACAATAGTGCTATTTCAAAACAGATATAGTCTTTAAAAATTTCTACCAGGTTGTCAGGCATAGACCCCCCTAGAGACCCCCATTCACACCTCTATGTAATGAGTTGATTTAAAAATTTGGTACTACAATGGACAGTTCATAGATATAGAAAAGCTCAGACTACAAACCATGCAAGTTTATTGTACCCCTTTACCAATCTCCACATACAGTGCCAGCAAATTCACGTTTTGAGAAAAAACTCAACATTTTTTTTCTGCCAAAGATTAAGCAAAAGTTATCACAGTGAAAATTTGCAATTAAGGACAGCTTAACGCCATTAATGTTTATTAGGCATTTCACTAGAGTATTATCTTCTTTAAGTATATGCAAGGTTTGCTATATAGCAATCACCAGTAGCATTGTATTTGCCAATACAAACAGAATGTAACCAACATGCCTTTAATCATATAATTACACGAATGTTAAAATTGGCTCATATATCATGCTTACTGGTCATGACAAATATCTTTTCATATGATCAAAGCTTGTTTAAATGCAAATCTGAAATAATTTAGTTTAGAAATCATAGTGATCATCTAAAAAATTACCTAGTGATCATGAAAAATACTTTGCTGTTTTGTCAAATTTTAATGTTTATCTCCATACATAGGAACACATTTTTACTTTATAGAAAATGCTTTACATACATCAATAGCCCATTCGAATTTATGGCAAGCAATCTAGTATGAGCCGTAGATCAACACACCTTGACATCTCTGCCTGAGGTGTTCAGTTAGAAAAGGGGATAATATGTGACGTGGGACAACATTTCATGTATGTGAAATACTCAGGTAAAATACCATTCCAGTCAAATTGTGAAAATAAAAAGCTTCATGGATCAGAAAAGACTCAAAATCAGGGGCGGATCTAGGATTTTTCAAACATCAGTCATAAAACGTCGGAGGCGCTCCGCACCTGTGGGGGTCTGAGGCATTCTCCCCTGACAAATTTTGAATTTCAGAGCCTTAAAAATGCCATTTTCAGCGTTTTAGAGCAATACAAAATGTATTTTGTGGGCATCGTTTTTGCGTAAAAACAACACATTTTGCTTACGTTTTTTTCAAAAAAAAGTAACAATACTTGAATGTTTTGCCAAATATTTAGGCTCATTATCATGCCAAATATATGGCTCATTAGCATGTCTAGGAACGTAAAATTTATTTTACAATAATGCTATTCAAAAACAGATATAGTCTTTACAAGTTTCTACCAAGTTGTCAGGCATAGATCCCCCTAGAGACCCCCATTCAAACCTCTATGTAATGAGTTAAGTTAGAAATTTGGTATTACAAGTGACAGTTCATAGATATAGAAAAGCTCAGACTTCAAACCATGCAAGTTTATTGTAACCCTTTACCCATCTCCACATCAGTGCCAGCAAATTCACTTTTTGACAAAAAAATTAAAATTTTTTTCTGCCAAAGATTAAGCAAAAATTATCAGAGTGACAATTTGCAGTTAATGACAGCTTAATGCCATAAATGTTTATCAGGCATTTCACTAGACTATTATCTCCTGTAAGTATATGCAAGGTGTGCTATATAGCAATCACTAGTAGCATTGTATTTGCAAATACAAACAGAATGTAACCAACATGTTTTTAATTATATAATTACATGAATGTTAAAATTGGTTCATGTGTCATGCTTACTGGTTATGATAAATATCTTTTCATATGATCAAAGCTCGCTTAAATAAAAATCTGAAATAATTTAGTTTAGAAATTATAATGATCATCAGAAAAATTACCTAGTGATCATGAAAAGTACTTTGCTGTTTTGCCAAATTTCAAGGTTTATCTGCATACATAAGAAGACATTTTTACTTTATAGAAAATGCTTTTTATCCATCAATAGCCCTTTGGAATTTATGGCAAACAATCTGGTATGAGCCGTAGATTAACACACCTTTACATCTCTACATGAGGTATTCAGTTAGAAAAGGGGACAATGTGTGACATGGGACAACATTTCATGTATGTAAAATACTAAGGTTCAATACCATTCCAGTCAAATTGTCAAAAGAAAAAGCTTCATGGATCAGAAGACTCAAAATCACAGGTTATAGTAAACAGCTTCGCATGTAATCAATGTTAGTTTTCTCAAATCTTAAACAATATGTAGTATAACTGTCTAATGATTGAATGATTAATGATCATAAACTGAAAAGCCCCAAACATTTTTTTATGATAAAGTAAATAATAGTATGGCGCCTTATGGCTACAGATTTTTTGTCCATTGAAATATATTTGCAGGAATGTAGGATTTTGCTGCCATATAACGGTCACGATTCCCAAAGCACTAAAGAAATCATAGCTAAAAGTCCTTCGTCAACAACAATTTTAGAAGCATCAATCTGCTTACCATACGCCATATTAACATAAATCGCATCACACACTCGCATAAATTGACTTTGATATATTACATTCATGCATACAATTCAGTTGTCCTTTACTTACGATTTTGGATGTAAATTTCTGCTGATAAAACTCAAAACAACGTTGGCTTGCTTTTGAACATCAACGACTGAAATGTCGCTCGCAAGATCGTCTTTGCCAAGCATTTACAATTCATCCATAAATTTTTCGCCCTCTTGAAAAAATTCACAGTTTGGACAGCAGCATTGATGTCAATATATGAATTTGTAAAAGATTTCCATAAATTCCATCAGATTGTAGTTTAGTTTCTATCATGCTTATAAAAATTACTATGAAACGATCAAACATTCAATTCAGACAGTGAGCTTGACTATGTTAGTTCAGTTGGCTATCAGTCGAAATTGGTCAAACCAATCACAGTAAGACAAAAATTCAAATGAACCAATTGTAAGATAGCAAGTGGACTCCCTTATAGGTCTGGCCAACCCGCTTATCGGTCGAGATTATTCCAGATCGTCCACTGATCTGACTATTGACCAATGAAATAAGCGTTTTTGACGTTCATAGACTCCTTTATCTGTCGAACCAGTCAAGCCACCCCGCTTATCAGTCGGTTATTCCAGGTCAATTAAAATTCAACTGATCTGGTTACCAACGAGATATTCATTGCATTAGTCATTAGTTTTTAATAATAAATAAAGCTGGATTTTTATCACGAAGTAAATGCGATAATAAAATAAGAACAATTAATGATTTTTTAATTATTATGAATAGATAATTTTTGAATTTCAAACA